GACGATATGTTGAACACAAAAGAAACGGCATTCAGTATTTTTAATTTCTTTATGGATTTTTACTCGAAAGAAAGATCACAAAAACAAGAAGTTTGTGTTCAGAAACAAAGATGGTGAGGATATATACAGATAGCACTTGAACAGAGAAAGCATCATAGACAGAAACAGTGGAATAACAAGCAGATCTTACATGGCTCAATCAATAGATGACATTGAATAACTACTTATGCAATTTTAAATTTCTCATATATCTTATAAATTATGAAACAGTAGAATTTATAATGTCCTTGTCTTATATTTAGATTACAATATCAAATACTTTTAATATGACAAGATTCAACTGTGTTTCTTTCAAAAACTTATAAACAGTATACAGTATTAATTTTCAAAAAATTTGAGGAATATTCCAGACAATTGAATAGTTTGAATTTCTTAGATACACTAAAATACGAACAGTAATACATTATTTCTTAAAATAGTTCATTAGAATCTTGAGAAGAGTTAGAACGGGTGACCTGATAAATTGTTATTATATTTTAACCACAATAAGGTTGAAGGTTAGGAAGATAACAGAAGCATGAAGACTTGAGGAGCATTATGAGCTGAAAGGTAGATAACTTCCTGCCTCAGAGGTGGAGAAAGACCCATGATTGACATAAATCCATTTTTGACACATGAGGCTTGCATCAGCAAAATAAATGTCTGCAGCATTGCAAAACTGATTTTTTTTAAAAGCCTCAAGTAATCTAGGTAAGAAAGCCTTTAGAATACTGTATACATGAGACCCAGAATAAAGTATGCATCCATTGTATGAAATCATCACTTAAATAAGCTAAATAAAACTAAAGAAAGTGCATAGTGCAGAGATAATCAACAAGGATGTTCTTAGAATTGAGAGGAATGAGATACAGTGACATATTTAGAACTGACACTCACAACATTGGAAGACAGGTGGGAAGTTATAGCAATTACAAGTTTCTAAGGGTGTTTGATAAAGTAAACAAGGCAGCATTGGTTAAAATGTGTAATGCAGTAGTGAAGCAGATGGACATCAATGGAAATTAGAAAATATGAGTTGAAATTTGTCAGGAAGTTATGTTTTGACCATAAGAGTTGTGAATGAATGGAAGAAGTAATAGAAGATGTTGAAGGGATGGCTATTCACAAACTCCTTGGCAGTGCTCATGTCATTTTTTTTCAATGTTGTTTTTACAAGTCAGTTTTATGCTCAATTCTGCTGGCAGAGTCATTGCATTACCCAATTCACTAGCTAGAAAGGTAAGGCTTGAGCACTAAAGCTCAACCCTGCAGACACACCTAAGTGTGTGTGCACCACATATTTGTGGTGTACACTTTCACCATACAGGCAAGTATACAGGCAGATTTGTAAACCTCATTCTGGAGACATTGATGTGTCAACACATCAAGCAGCCCACAACTGTTGTTGTCAATGTGTGTGATTACGACTGTTGGTAGTCGTCGACTTCAACTTAAAATCCATAGCTGGGAGGCATATGAAGCTAGTACAGAGGATTTTTGGAATTGTAGATTCGTAAATCTCATCTTGGAAACATTCATGTTTCAACATGTTAAACAAGCTACGAGGATGAGGGTAGGGGATGTTCCATCCATGCTGGATTGGATATTTACAAGGAAAGAGGAAGAAATATTTGACATTCAGTACCTCCCTCCCTTGGGTAAAAGTGACCATGTCTTTTTACGAATAAAGTATGCAGTGCATTATAATCTGGAAGAAAATGAGGTTGAAGCAGTTTAAAAGCCAGAGTTCAGGAGAGGTCATTATGGAGAACTCAGACATTTCTTTAAGGAATTTAACTGGAAAGACTTGCTGTTAGGACATGAAGTAAATGAGATGTATGTCAAATTTTGTGAAATATATGATAAAGGCACAATAAAATTTATACCAAAGCAGAGATGCAGAACTATGAAACAGGAATGGTTCAACAGAAATTGCGAGAGGGCCAGAAACCAAAAGACACAAAAATGGAATCAATATAGGAAGAGGCCAAACCCCCCAAACATACCAGCGATACAAAGATGTGAGAAACAACTACTGTATACTGCAGTGAGGAGAGAGGCAGAAAGAAATTTTGAAAAATGGATTGCGGACATATGTAAAACAGAATCAGGTCTATTCTATAAATTCATAAACAACAAATTGCAGGTAAAGAATAATATCCAGAGGTTGAAAATGGGAAACAGATTCACAGAAAATGAAATAGAAATGTGTGAAACATTAAATGAAAAGTTCCAAAGTGTGTTTGTACAAAATGAAATCTTCAGAGAACCAGACACAATAAGAAATCCAGAGAACAACATAGAGCGGATATAGGTGTCTAGAGATGAAGTGGAAAATATGCTAAAGGAGCTCAGTAAGAACAAAGCAGCTGGCCCAGATGGCGTTTCACCATGGGTTCTGAGAGAATGTGCATCTGAGCTCAGCATTCCACTTCACCTGATCTTTCAAGCATTCCTGTGTACAGGAATCGTAGCAGACGTGTGGAAACAGGCTAACATAGTTCCAATCTACAAAAGTGGCAGCAGGGAAGACCCCCCTCAATTATTAGACCTGTATCATTGACAAGTGTAATAGTGAAAGTATTGGAAAAACTAATCAAAACTAAATGGGTAGAACACCTGGAGAGAAATGATATAATATCAGACAGACAGTATGGTTTTCGATCTGGAAGATCCTGTGTATCGAATTTAATCAGTTTCTATGATCAAGCCACAGAGATATTACAGGAAAGAGATGGTTGGGTTGACTGCATCTATCTGGACCTAAAAAAGGCTTTCGACAGAGTTCCACATAAGAGGTTGTTCTGGAAACTGGAAAATATTGGAGGGGTGACAGGTAAGCTTCTAACATGGATGAAAAATTTTCTGACTGATAGAAAAATGAGGGCAGTAATCAGAGGCAATGTATCGGAATGGAGAAATGTCACAAGTGGAGTACCACAGGGTTCAGTTCTTGCACCAGTGATGTTTATTGTGTACATAAATGATCTACCAGTTGGTATACAGAATTATATGAACATGTTTGCTGATGATAAGATAATAGGAAGGATAAGAAATTTAGATGATTGTCATGCCCTTCAAGAAGACCTGGACAAAATAAGTATATGGAGCACCACTTGGCAAATGGAATTTAATGTTAATAAATGTCATGTTATGGAATGTGGAATAGGAGAACATAGATCCCACACAACCTATATATTATGTGAGAAATCTTTAAAGAATTCTGATAAAGAAAGAGATCTAGGGGTGGTTCTAGATAGAAAACTATCACCTGAGGACCACATAAAGAATATTGTGCAAGGAGCCTATGCTATGCTTTCTAACTTCAGAATTGCATTTAAATACATGGATGGCGATATACTAAAGAAATTGTTCATGACTTTTGTTAGACCAAAGCTAGAATATGCAGCTGTTGTGTCGTGCCCATATCTTAAGAAGCACATCAAGCTGGAAAAGGTGCAAAGACATGCTACTAAGTGGCTCCCAGAACTGAAGGGCAAGAGCTACGAGGAGAGGTTAGAAGCATTAAATATGCCAAAACTAGAAGACAGAAGAAAAAGAGGTGATATGATCACTACGTACAAAATAGTAACAGGAATTGATAAAATCGATAGGGAAGATTTCCTGAGACCTGGCACTTCAAGAACAAGAGGTCATAGATTTAAACTAGCTAAACACAGATGCCGAAGAAATATAAGAAAATTCACCTTCGCAAATAGAGTGGTAGACGGTTGGAACAAGTTAAGTGAGAAGGTGGTGGAAGCCAAGACCGTCAGTAGTTTCAAAGCGTTATATGACAAAGAGTGCTGAGTAGACGGGACACCACGAGCATAGTTCTCATCCTGTAACTACACTTAGGTAATTACTTAGGTAATTACACACACACACATACATTCCTACATACTTAAATATATATACATACATACACAGTGGCACTTTTGTTTACGAACTTAATCCGTTCCAAGAGATGGCTCGTACTCCAAAAATTCATAAACCAGAATGAATTTTCCCATAAGAAATAATGTGAAATGAATAATCTGTTCCATACACCCAAAAACATTAACTTAAAAATACATTTTATACAGAATACTACTTATATTTTTTCTATACCTTACCCTTATTGAGGACTCTTGTTGGTGTATGGAAGAAGGTGAGGAGGAGAGGTGTTAGCGTTTGGAAGGGGAGTCCCCTTCCATTGTAACATTTGACAGTGATGCCATTTCTGGAGTACCCTCTCTCCTATGTTTTGCAGGCTTACAACAAGGACCTGGTTGTGGCTCACTGCTTGATTGCCTTACGAAGAATCTGTCTATAGACACACTTTTCCCCTTCATTTTACAGTAACACTTTTCCATACTGAGTCATATCTGGGTGAGTCTTTTCAGCCAAACTGCAGTTTTTTTCCATACTGCACACATTTTTTTAATGAGGATGGGACATCCTCTACTGCCTCTACTTAGAACTATTTTCTTAGGTTGAACTTTACCGCTGACTTTCATGGAACCCATGGCGTGATATATAATGAAAACTTTTATGTTCAGAAACCAAAAAATCAGAAAAACAATGAAATTCTTCATAAAGAATTTAAGCGTGGTCATCACTAGGCGGGATACACTGGTAAACTGAGCGTGCCTCGCCCTGCGCCCAGCAGGACCATGTGCTCCAAAGAAATTGGCTTCAAATACCAAAAAACTCATAAACCAGAGCATTCGTAAACCAAGGTTCCACTGTATATGAGTAAGTTTGGAATGATATAAATAGAAGCCGTTTCATATGGGCCAATAGGCTTCCAGTAATTATATTTCTTATGTTCTTATGATCTTTCTGATAATACTGTACTGTACTTTGAATCTCTGATTGTGTTATTTAACATGAATGGCTTGAAGTACAGGTAACATAGAGAAAAAAGGATACCCACCAGTCAATAATCATTAATTTAAAATTTTTATATTTATTTGCAGGAAATCGCAAGCCTAAGAAAGCCAAGCTAGACTCCTCTGCTCAAGTAAGTTGAGTTTTTGTTTTACAATTGTCTAATGTCATCATCATCATCATAATCATAATCATAATCATAATTCACTCTCATAGTGAAGCCATTATCAGTGCAGCCAACTATCATTTGCAAGTAGTGAGGATAAATTAATTATTGTTGTTTAGCTCAACAGTTGCCATGTATTTGAGATTAAAGTATTTTAAGTTAGGGAATTTAAATATAATTATAATAAGTTAGCCATGTAATGACAAAGTAACAAATTCTTTGTACGTGGTGTTTTACTAAGAGCTTCTGGAAATTGGTATTTTGTCATGTACTATGTTAAATGTAATGATAGAAGGTAACACACAGTGTATAAGTGTGCCATTGATACAGTTTAACCCTAATAATTGTCATGCTAACATACCTCTGAAACTTTGGTCTCCATATGTACATATGTCCACTCTGTCTTTCTTGAAAATATTTGCATGACATTTCAAATAAAAAAAATAATTTACAGAATATGCTTATTGGCTTTTCTGCTCTTTTGTAGTCTAGAATGATTGCTTTTAATATTAACACAGTTTGAGCTTTGAAACAAGTGACACGAGCCATTCTATTGCTAGCTAAGCTCTACATTTGTATGGGACAATGTTATATTACCGGTATATATATGTAGACAAGTAAATACTGTGCATATATGTGACAAGTAAATACTGTGCATATATGATACTGTATGTGAATGTGTTTGTGCTGCCACTCTAGATACTGTAAAATTAAGTAAAATTTCAGTACTTAAATATAAACAAAATTTTGTTGTCTTTGATTTCCATTCCTTTGATGATTCGTTTTTTAATACTGAGGGCAGTTGAAAAATTTTGCAATTTAGGGTCAAAGCTAAATGAAAGGAATCTATGTTTTAGTAAATTTATAGTTGAATGCATGGGTATTTGTTTGTTAATTTGATAAATGTGATATAAAGTACATTTGTTTAGCCTGAGGATTTAAAGTACCGGTATTTCATCTGAGAAAATTATAGTTTGGAAAATTTGAGCATCATGTGTCAAAATCTCTCAAAAAAATTAATGTTCCATAGCAAAGGAAATTCATTGATGCGTGTCTCACTGCAAGATTGGCTAAGTACAGTAAGTGTAGTCCGTACACTACACTACACTACACTACACTAAGTGTAGTGTAAGTACAGTAGTTCAAGTTTGATTAAAAACTCTTGAGGATGATCAGTGGTCAAGACTGCCTTTAAATTGTATCATCAAGTCAACTGAATCCTGATTTAAGAACTTGATTATTACAAATTGGCATATCAAAGTCGATGAAATTTGGATTCTGCAAGATGGGGTTCCACAGAACCTCAGCACTTTTGAGAATGGCTTTAAGTCGTGAACTTGAATTGTATGTAGCTGATGCAGCCAATTTTGTTCTGCATTGCTGAGGGGAGACAAGATCTAGATTCATCATTGGTATCCTGAACCAAAAATGGAATCAATAAAATGGAAGCACCCAAACTCTCTAACGTCCAAGAAGTTCAGAAATTAACTTTCTGGGCGCTAGATTATGCCTCTATTTTCTAAGATGCTAAAATAAATATATTTTTTGATAACATGCTACATATGTGGGTCTGTGAGCCACTCCAAGTAATAGCCTGATGGATCAAGCTCTCACAAGTCAAGCCTGGTCCTGGGCCAGGCTTGGGGAGTAAAAGAACCCTATCCAGCTACAATCCAGGTGCAAGAGAAACCATGGAAAATGCTGTCAAGGTGTGGTCCTACTTCAAGACAATGTGTTTGTCCACAAACTCATGTCACACAGGCATCCATCTGCAACTACTGTAGTTTCTAACAACTCGGCCATCCTCAGTACAGCCCAAGTCTCTCCTCAACCAACTCTTGCCTGCTTCAAATCCTTCGGTCCCATATATGTGTGGGACTGAAGCCGCCGGCTTCTTGTCCTCATCGAGGCCACTAGTATTAGTGGCCCTCAGGTAAAAGTGTGGCTTTAGGAACTGATGGAAGACTTCAGTTAGACCGGCATAGTGTGTTTAAAGATCAAGTGGAGTAAGTGGAGTCAAGGAATACTGCAATGTATTGAATTGTGTATTATATACAGTACAGGGGAGTCATATATAACATGTCAGTTAATTAATTAAGTTCCTTGAATGCAGCTTGTTATCTAAAAAGTGTTATATAAACTGAATAATATGTGGGAAAAAATAGGACTACTTTCTCAGTAATAGAGGAAGGGAAAGTGCCTGAACTGAGTGGGATAGTGTCAAACCAAGTGGCACAGAGATGAAGTAAAGAGGCATCTGCTAGAATTTGATATGACTAATGGTCTTGACCTGAAATACAGTACTGTATGTAATACAGTAAATCATTGGAACCAGAAAGTTATAAGACGGCCAATATACAAGAATGAAGACAGAAGAGAAACTAAAGTACAGGCCAGTGTCCCTAACTTGAATACCATGCAGAGTGATGGAGAAGATTGTAAGGGAAGTAAGACCAATAGCATAATTTTAGAAGAGAGACTTCATAACACATTACCAGCAGTGGTTCAGTGATGTTAAATTTTACCTCACAAACTTGTTAAAATTATGTGACCAATTGTGTAAAATTAAACAAGATAGAGAAGGGTGGGCAGATTGCGTACTTTTCTGGGGGGAGCCCCTTTGGCTCCCCGGAGCTATCCGGGCTGATATGAATGATTTTGACCCTGGCATCAGTCAATGTGCATAGAGTTCTAGGCCTACCAGGGACCACGAGCCAGAATCTGGCCCCTTCAGAGAGGCACGAGGAGCAATGGCCTAGAGCTTCCAACCAATGGAAAGCTTCCAACCCCATGTGGTTGGAAGCTTTCTGTGTCTGCCATTAACCAGGTCAGGCACCCAGAAAGGTAAGCACCCCAAAACAAACCCCCTATTCTGGTTAAAATATTGTTACTGAAAGCCAAACTAGTGAACAGAACTCCCCAAATGAAAACGAGCAATCAAGCATGACGTCACTACGTCACCGCACTGCTGTCTGCGCAACCCATCCCCCTCCCCGGGAAGGAGAAGGGGAAGCCCCAGACCCCTGCGCCGTCTATCCACCCTGCAGGTCTGTGGCTAATGTGAAACTGGCAAGGTCTTGCACCTCTTGCTCCTGAGGTTTCCAGTTCTGTGCCTTGTGGTGTGGTGCTGTCTGCAGTGGTGCGCGAGGCAGAAGTACTTTCTCAAGTAGTCAGGCTGCGTGCATTTAAGGTCCCCTTCCCTAGGTGCCCTGTAAGTACTGCCCTTGGAGGCTTGGGGTTACCGTCCACGTCTCTTTGGGATCTACCTCCGCTAGGTCTTTTGCTGCTTGGTGATTGACCACCCTTGGAGTTAGCTGGGGTGTTTCATGCACCCCTGTTTTCCTCTGGGTAGGGGGTAGTTTTCATCACTGGTTGAGCCGCAATGTACTGTGCAGCTAGTTAACACCTCACATAGCGGCTGGCTCTGTTCTGCCTGGGCACGTTGTCCTATTGCGGGGTTTTTATTTTCCGTTTTGTTATCCTGCCTGGTGGGCAGGTCTGCCCCTTAATTTTGGTCACACCCCTATTGTATCTCGGTGGTCCTCTGCTAGGCCCCTTCCAAGTGGTTGGGCACCATTCCTTCTCCCCGTCCCATCCCAAATCCTTATCCTGACCCTTTCCAAGTGCTATATAGTCGTAATAGCTTGGCGCTTTCCCCCCCTGATAGTTCCTTTCCCTTCCCTTCTGCTAGGCCCCCGCGAGTGTACACGTCCTGGGGGGTTCAGCTTTAGCAGTTTTGTTTGGTAATTTTGGGGAACCGGTTAGCAGTACCTTGCCTGGGTTTCCCTTAGCAAGATAACCCGACTAAGGGCCCTGGGAAACCCTGCGAGGGCTCTTTGGTCGGATGGATGTGACCCCTGGGTCCCCTCTCGCATCGTGCAAGTTTGAACGTTGTTCTGTTCCCTTGTCTCAGTGTTACACTCACCAGATGTGCCTCTGTCATGCGACCTGTTGGGTCGGTGACACTTTTGACCCAGAGTCTTGTGAGTTTTGTTCCTTGTTTGTACTCCAATTCACCCAGTTCACTGATAATGTTATGTGGATACAGGCAGTTTCACCTTCGCATGCTTGGTTTCGGTTGCTGCAATGCGCTAGGTTGGTTGCTACCCCGGATGCCCCGAGACTTTCCTGCTTTGGTTATAGGGACCCAGACTTGGGAGTTAGTCATCTCGACTTTAGTTCAGTCTGCGCCCTTTTGTCCTTCCCCTTCTGTTGTTTGTCCTGGTCCTCTCCCCTTGGTTCCAGCTCCGAAGCGTCTTGAGGGTTTCGGGGTCAGGGCAGGGTTTAGTTGGTGTTGAGAGACTGCTGGTTTTGGGGGATGCCCCTTCCGGTGTGGCAAAGGAGACATTCAAACCTGGTCCTCCAGCTGAGGCTTTCGGGTCTGGCTAGTGGGGCCCCTCTTCATTCCTGCATTTTCAGAGGCTCCTGCCTTTTATTTTGAGGTGGGGAGGGGGGATTGGAGGACGGCTTGTTCCCAGGTCCTCGTGGGGAAGTTCCCGGGGAGGGGAAGGGGTTGATTTGGGGGCCTTGGGCTCCATTGGACCCCGCAGGGCTTTTGTAATCTCTGAGCTGGGCTTCATGTTACAAGGTGTGAGGTTTTCTTTTTCCACATCCTCGTATGAGTTGGATTTGGCGTCTACCCCTCTGCAGGGTTTGGTTCCGTGATCCTGTGTTCTTTGATCACATCCTTCTGGATGTTTTCGGCATTTCGCATTCCGTCTCATGTGGTGCGGGATGCTATTGTGTCTTGCCTCCTGTGCAACCCGGATTACACCTTCATAATGGATCCCTTTTCCTTCGTGTATGAATCGTCCTTTCCTTACTGGGTTCGTTATGAGGTTCCAGAGTCGTCCTGGTTTGTAGACTGCCCCTTATTCTCGTTGGAGGTGTGGCATTCATTCTGTTGATCCCGTGCGCTTGAGTGGTGTGAGGCTCATATGGTGGTCCAGATTTTCCTGGGGACGAGT